AAAAACAAAAGTCCAGTTAACAACAGAAATGATTTTTGCTTATCAGAAGGCTGTTGTTAATTATGACCCAATTATCCAGATTGTACTTTGTACCCATCTCGAATAAATAAATAAATACAAAAAAAATATATACATACATACTTACCATATTTATATAATATATTTATATATATATATATATATATATATATATATATATATATATATATATATATTTTATATATAATATTTATATATATATTATATAGGGATTGGCAGAGGCATGTATAGTCCCTTTATATAAAGGGAAAGGGGACAAAAAGAGACTGTAAAAATTATAGAGGAATAAGCTTACTGAGTATACCAGGAAAAGTGTACGGTAGGGTTATAATTGAAAGAATTTGAGGTAAGACAGAATGTAGGATTGCGGATGAGCAAGGAGGTTTTAGAGTGGGTAGGGGATGTGTAGATCAGGTGTTTACATTGAAGCATATATGTGAACAGTATTTAGATAAAGATAGGGAAGTTTTTATTGCATTTATGGATTTAGAAAAGGCATATGATAGAGTGGATAGAGGAGCAATGTGGCAGATGTTGCAAGTATATGGAATAGGTGGTAAGTTATTAAATGCTGTAAAGAGTTTTTATGAGGATAGTGAGGCTCAGGTTAGGGTGTGTAGAAGAGAGGGAGACTACTTCCCGGTAAAAGTAGGTCTTAGACAGGGATGTGTAATGTCACCATGGTTGTTTAATATATTTATAGATGGGGTTGTAAAGGAAGTAAATGCTAGGGTGTTTGGGAGAGGGTGGGATTAAATTATGGGGAATCAAATTCAAAAGGGGAATTGACCAGTTACTTTTGCTGATGATACTGTGCTTATGGGAGACTCTAAAGAAAAATTGCAAAGGTTAGTGGATGAGTTTGGGAATGTGTGTAAAGGTTAGAAGTTGAAAGTGAACATAGAAAAGAGTAACGTGATGAGGGTGTCAAATGATTTGGATAAAGAAAAATTGGATATCAAATTGGGGAGGAGGAGTATGGAAGAAGTGAATGTTTTCAGATACTTGGGAGTTGACGTGTCGGCGGATGGATTTATGAAGGATGAAGTTAATCATAGAATTGATGAGGGAAAAAAGGTGAGTGGTGCGTTGAGGTATATGTGGAGTCAAAAAAACGTTATCTATGGAGGCAAAGAAGGGTATGTATGAAAGTATTAGTAGTACCAACACTCTTATATGGGTGTGAAGCTTGGGTGGTAAATGCAGCAGCGAGGAGACGGTTGGAGGCAGTGGAGATGTCCTGTTTAAGGGCAATGTGTGGTGTAAATATTATGCAGAAAATTCGGAGTGTGAAAATTAGGAGAAGGTGTGGAGTTAATAAAAGTATTAGTCAGAGGGCAGAGGAGGGGTTGTTGAGGTGGTTTGGTCATTTAGAGAGAATGGATCAAAGTAGAATGACATGGAAAGCATATAAATCTATAGGGGAAGGAAGGCGGGGTAGGGGTCGTCCTCGAAAGGGTTGGAGAGAGGGGGTAAAGGAGGTTTTGTGGGTAAGGGGCTTGGACTTCCAGCAAGCGTGCGTGAGCGTGTTAGATAGGAGTGAATGGAGAAAGAATGGTACTTGGGACCTGACGATCTGTTGGAGTGTGAGCAGGGTAATATTTAGTGAAGGGATTCAGGGAAACCGGTTATTTTCATATAGTCGGACTTGAGTCCTGGAAATGGGAAGTACAATGCCTGCACTTTAAAGGAGGGGTTTGGGATATTGGCAGTTTGGAGGGATATGTTGTGTATCTTTATATGTGTATGCTTCTAAACTGTTGTGTTCTGAGCACCTCTGCAAAAGCAGTGATAATGTGTGAGTGTGGTGAAAGTGTTGAATGATGATGAAAGTATTTTCTTTTTGGGGATTTTCTTTCTTTTTTGGGTCACCCTGCCTCGGTGGGAGACGACCGACTTGTTGAAAAAAAAAAAAAAAAATATATATATATATATGTCGTGCCGAATATGTAAAACTGGTCAGTTAGCAAGAACTCATTTAAAATTAAGTCCTTTCTAAAATTTTCTCTTGTACGTTTAAAGATATATTTTTTTCATTAATGTTGATGTAAAAAAATTATAATTTTGCACCAAAAGGAACTTAGAAAACTTACCTAACCTTATCATAACAAGAATAATTTATTTTAGCCTAACCCAACTAAATATATTTTAGATTTGTTTATAATAATTTAATACTAAACAAACACAGTTAAACATATTTTTTTCGTTAGGTTCAGAATGATTTTGGCGAAATTATTGCATACACAAATTTTCACTTGTCCTATATGGCAAGATGAACGTTGCTATTTAAGCCAAGATCGCAAGTTCTGCCTATTCGGCACGACATATATATATATATATATATATATATATATATATATATATATATATATATATATATATTATATATATATATATATATATATATATATATATATATATATATATGCAATAAGATCACAGTAAACAGGTGATTTCAAAATATGCAAACAACCACTCTGAAAGAATAGAGAAATTCCAAGCGCTTTCGTGACTACTCACATTATCAAGGAGTGGTTGTTTTGCGTATATATATATATATATATATATATCAATAACAACACTGCAACTAGCCGAGGACTCGAACCCATGTCGTTTTGGCCCGCCTCATTACGAGCGAAAATCACATGACGCTCTAACGCACAGGAACACTCAGCCCTACAAAAATCACGCACCCCGCAGAGCTAGGTGTTTTACCGTGATCCGAGGACATACGGTGGTGTGAGTGCATCTGAATTAATTTCGTTCTACTCCCCGTTTGGTGTACTAGCCTCCACAGGTAGTATATATGTTATTATAACCACGGACCATATGTCCTCGAATCACGCTAAAACACCTAGCTCTGCTGGGTACATGATTCTTGTAGGGCTGAGTGGTCCTGTGGGTTAGAGCATCATGTGAATTTCGCTCAGCATTAGGCGGGCCAAAAGACATGGGTTCGAGTCCTCGGCTAGTCGCTGTGTTATTATTGAAATAGTTTCTACCAATCAACAGTTGATCCAGAATATTAGTACCGTTTTACCAGGAGCACGAGCCATTGATCCAGCCAATAGCACTCTCCTCGGTGCTCCTCTTGGGTCCAATGCCATCGATCTGATCCTAGGAAAAAAAGTCTCAGACCTCCGGACGATGGAAAGCAGGATGAAAGACATTGACACACACGATGCCTTCTACCTACTCACCAGGTGCCTGTCAACCCCAAAACTTACCTATTTTCTGAGATGCTCCCCAGCCTTCAGCAGTCCAAAACTCAAGGAATATGACTCTCTCCTGAAGGCCATGCTAGAGAGTGTATTTAACCTTTCCCTTGACGATGGACAGTGGTTGCAAGCCTCACTTCCGGTCAGGCTTGGAGGGCTAGGAGTACACAGGTCCTCCCAGATTGCTCTACCAGCTTTCCTATCCTCTTCCATTGCATCAAACGAGTTGATAAGACAAATTCTCCGACACCTCAGTGACTCAGCAGGAATAGAAGACCCTAGCTATGTCAGTGCCATCACCGAATGGGAGACTCTTGCTGCTCCAGCACCAAACCCTAGTGCAGCACTGGCTCACAAACAGTCAAGCTGGGATAGCCCAATTGCTGAAAAGGTGCTTGCCAACATGCTCAGGGCTGCAACATCAGATAGGGAGATTGCCCGTCTCCAGGCTGTGAGTGCACCTCACTCCGGGGACTTCCTCCAAACAGTTCCCATATCGGCAATGGGAACGCGACTCGACCCTAAGACCCTCCGTATTGCAGTGGCTCTGCGCCTTGCTGCCCCAATTCACACAGAATATATGTGTATTTGCGGCGAAGTGCAAGCAGACCAATACGGTCTACATGGTCTTAACTGTTCCAAAACCAAGGGCTGGCATGCAAGACACAATGAGGTCAACGACATCATTAAGAGAACCCTTGCTACAGCTGGATGCCCTGCCGAGAGGGAGCCACGATCACTTGCAGCAAACAATACCACAACCCAGCAAACCGCCCCGACGGGATCACCATCTATCCTTGGAAGAATGGCAAGCTCTTAGCATGGGACTATACCTGTGTGTCCACACTGGCTGACACCTATATCCATCACAGTGTGGGGCGACGGGGAGGAGCTGCTGACCACAGGGAGGAGTACAAGATCAGCAAGTACAGGGACATTAGCCAACAGTATCAATTTGTCCCAGTGGGATCAGAGACCTTGGGATCATGGGGAAAAAATGCCACACGTTTCCTTAAAGAATTGGGTTCCAGACTCATCGACACCACCAGGGACCCAAGGGCAGCCACTTTCATGTTCCAGCGCCTCAGCGTCGCCATCCAGAGGGGAAATGCTTGCTGCATACTTGGTTCACGTCCAGCCTCGGAGGAGCTGGAGGAAATTCATCATCTTTGATACATTGTGCCATTGTATTCATGTTTATGTTTTTTTCTGTAAATGTATTTTGTTTATTAATAAATGTTCACATAGAATATAAATATAGGGGGTGGTAGGAGAAGAAAATATTCAAACAGCTCCGGGGAGAACCTTGAGTTTTCCCTGAGGTACGTTTATTGTCTTCTCTGAGGATGAGGGTCCCCATTCCAGCCATAGAGGTGGTACTTCCCTATATTTAAAAAAAAAAAAAAAAAAATATATATATATATATATATATATATATTTATATATATATATATATATATATATATATATATATATTATATCTCGTCACAGTACCACCAAATTCTTATAATAAATCAATTATCTCTTGATTACAATTGATTCATCAACATAAATTATTTATATTCAGACTATAGCCAAACTATCAGGATAAATAAATTATATTATTGAGTTTACCAGCAAATTATTTATCCATGTATTTTAATAATCACAATAAATGAACCAGTTATAGAACCGAATTATATTAAGAATTATCCAAAAAATTAATAATTTAATTGCTACTCAAACTGATTTAATCTATAACAGAGTAATGGAGAGGAACAACGTCATGAAGAACAACACGGCGCAGAACACAGCCGCAGAGAACACTCCCGCAGCGCTGAACATCATGGGTAAGAACTCGAGTACAGAGGTTAACAACGCCGTAAAGAACACAGCCACCACGCAGCACGACGTGGAGAAGAACACCCAGGTGGAGAACACACTCGTGAAGGAGAACTTCAAACATTCGCTGGAGGACTGGCAGGAGACTATGGGAGAACTGCCTGAGGTGGACGAGACAGGTCACCTTCTCCTGCACCACCAACACCATTTAGATGATGCTGATGACGCTGCTGACGACGCTGCTGACAACTATGCTGTCGACGATGCTGAAATCGAAGATACTAAGTGTGGCTTGGGGCCCTTTAAACCAGCGTGGCTCCAGGTGCCTAACTAATATACTTCGCTTATCAATATATATATATATATATATATATATATATATATATATATATATATATATATTATATATATATATATATATATATATATATATATATATATATATATATATATATATATATATATATATATATATATATATATATTATTTATGGCGATATTGATCTCTTTATTATCTATGTAAATAAAACTTTCGTTTATTAAGTGAAATATTAATGTTTTGAGAGTAATAAATTATTGAGAGGGATGTTGGTGTGTCCAGGTGCTGGCCAGGAAGGAGGTGTACATGATAGTGTTCAGTGTGGTGGGTCTCACACAAGGTATCTTCTTCACCTACATGGTCGCTGTTCTCTCTACCATAGAGAAGAGGTTTAAGTTTACCAGCAAAGAAACTGGTGAGTATAACGTGAGTATATCGCACCTTAGAGAGGTGCTTGTGAGTATAATCAAGTATAATCACACCTTAGAGAACTGTGATGTGTTGCTGAGTATAACGCTAGTACATGACACCTTTAAGAGGCGTTGAGGAGTATAACCTAGTATATCACACCTTGTAGAGGTGCTGGTGAGTATATCAGATCTTAGAGAGGTGGTAACTGCTGCAGGCAGTAATCACTTTTGTCTCCCTCAGGAACCATCCTTGCCGGGAACGATGTGTCTCAGATCATCCTCTCCATCCTTCTGGGTTACTACGGCAACTACGGCCACCGCCCACGCTGGGTGGCCATGGGCGTGTTCTTCGCCGCCCTTTCTGGCTTTCTGGCCGCACTCCCGCACTTCATCTACGGTCCGGGCCAGGAAGCCATCGCTGCCGCAGCCGCCGCCGGAGCCGGGCCACTAGATACCTCCATTCTCCTGGGTAACCTCACCACACCAACCACCAGTTAGTATACAGTAGATAGAGTTCACCCCACGCTCCCACAATTACATATAATAAAAACAATTGCAATCTTTAGTTCAATGCTTTTATTTATATTCTAACTACTACCCTCGGTACATATATTCTTACAGTTCTCTACTATAATCTTTACCACATTCCATTTTCTCCTCCTGCTTATCCTCTGTGCCACAGAAAAGGAGGAGATGTGTCACTTCCAACCTGAGGACGTGTGTGAGGAAGCTGAGAACAGCGGGCAGTCTTACATGGGTCCCCTCGTTCTTTTCTTCATCTCGCAGTTCTTCTTCGGTGTCACCCTCAGCATCTTCTACAACCTCGGCATCACCTACATGGACGACAACATCAACAAGAAGGCTTATCCCATCTACTACTGTGAGTGAAAAAAGATAAAAGCTATTCATCTGTCCATCTGCTTATGTATAATCGCTGTTAGCCAGTAATGGAATCTTGCACTTCGAGGGTACAAGAGTTACTTCGAGTGACAGCAGAGATTCCCGAGGTCCTCGCACATGTCTCCTTGATAATCTTGTTAGGAAGCATTGATCCTTCCTCGACTTACGTAAATCTATTATCACTACAGCTGCAACTCTCACCCTTCATAATACATTACCTAAATGGTGGCATGATAGTTCCATAAACAGATTCCTCCATCTAGGTTCCATCTACGTCTTGCACTAGTTGAGACCACCACAATCCAAGCTATGATCCTTATATCAAAGTTGGTTCAACAATAGTTAGGGCCGCCCACAGAGAAATCTTTACATTCTGAGGCTAAGCTAACAAGGACACTGATTCGATCTTTAATACTCCTTACACAATGTGGCTCCTATTGCCAACACAGGTTTTGCTCTGTGTAGAGCGAAACGTTATTCAGTATAATATTTTTCAGCAATGTGTGTGTTTTGACTTCCTTACATAATACTTATATTTTGACAAAAAGACGAGATTCTCATTTTATTTCTTCTCTAGACGATGTTTCGGTCCTGTATAGAAGACCCCAGTAATTCTAAAGAGCTATACTAGCCTGGCTTTAGCAGTTCCCAGTATACTCGCTCCTGTGGAAAGGAGACTCAACGTAACGTCCATGGTGACTTGCGCTTGTTTCTTCTTGTGTTTCAGCCTTGGCCTTCATGCTGAGGATCATGGGTCCTGTGCTTGGGTACTTCGTAGGAGGCAAGTGTCTTTCCGTGTGGATTGATCCGTCTCTCCAGCCCAACCTCACGAGGAAGGACCCGCGCTGGTACGGAGCTTGGTGGATAGGTACGATCTCCAGACTGCTGTTAATTGGGGAAAAAATAATAATTATGCATCTGTGGAGATGAATCAGAGTAGTTACTAAATGATTTTTTATATTATATATGCAAAAATGTTATTATAAAGCTTACTCTGTGTACTTTGGATTATTATTATTATTTTCAAGAACAATAATAAATTTGTCGAGTTAGGCATAAGAATTACAAACTGGGCATCTACAGAGCAGACTGAATTGTTTGCAATCCTAATGGGGCTAAAGCTAACTTATGACACTAAGCTTTGACTCTATCATCATTACTGATTCTATGTCGTCGCTGAAGGCTCTTGACTCATATAATGAATCTAATCTAAATCTACAGCAATGGTAGTAGTAGTAGTAGTAGCAACAGTAGTATATTCATTCTTACTATCATGATTATTATACTATATTCATAGGGAACAGCGCCTGTTAGTCATACAGCACCTAGAGAGTGGCATGTAATCTAACTAGATCCGAGGAAGGATGGCTAGCTCCAATTTCTAGGAACAAGTTTCCTCATCCAACGTCAAGGTTCACCCTCCCCCTCCCCTTTCTTGAAGGGAGGGCGTCAAGGTACATCTCTCTCCCCCTTCCTGAAAGGAGGTAGCAGTACACTTTCAATACAGTCGCACCAACATTACATATATAACCACATATTATTACTGTTCAGGCTTCCTGGTGATTGGCTTCGGTCTGCTCGTGACGGGAAATTTTTTGGTGTTATTCCCGCGGAAGCTGCCGGAGACGCTGAGAAGAGAACATAAAAGGGCGGTGAGGCTGGCTGAGAGGGAACAGAAGACAGGGGGCAAGAGAAATGTGGAGTTCTTCTCCTCACTGGCCAAGACAAAGAGCAAGGAGGAGAAGCCCACACTCAGAAGTAAGATCATCGCCTCCTTATTCTCCTCCATAAGCATTTGATTAATCTAGCTCATACTTTACGTTTTTGAGTTGTTCTGTATTAGGAGCACTGTAGTAACACTAACACTACAGTAACACTGTAGTAAACATGCTTGCTTGTCTGCTTTCTTATGTAACAGGCCTTTATCTATCTGTCTACCTCCCTGTATGTCTGCTTGTCTTTCCCTCTGCCTCCATGTTCTGCCTCACTCCTGATTCACAACACTCCCTGCAACGTTCACTTTCTCTGGAAAGTGAACGTATTGTTGCAAATTCTGGCTTATGTTATGTTTTCCATACTAAAACTATGTTTGATATCTTCGCTATATATCCTGACTGTGAGACGACTGAGACAGTTTTTTTAAGCATTTTTTTTTTGACTGGTGTATCTTACTAGTTTACATAAAGCTGAGAACAAAATACTGCACAGATCCGCTAATGTGGTATTTTACCTCATATCTTGCCTCTTATCCTTGCGTTATTTTGAGAGTAATGTTTTTGAGAGTATTGTAATGTTGGCAAAATTACGTTATAAGTTTTTTTTTACTAAACCCGTGTGGGTCATTCATGAAGGCTCGATCTTCCGTCTGAAAATCTCAGTTTCTTGTATGACCTCTCAGATTGTTGGTGGCTGCACAGCTTTAGGACCCGATGCCTTCGGAGGCCCTGACCAATACAGTTAATGTGTCACTCTTTACAGAGTCCTCCAAACAACACTGTTGATGTTCGTAGCTCAGTATTATATCAGGTAATCGTTTGCGTCTCGTCCCCCAGACCTGCTGAAGGCACTGAAGCGGCTCTTCACGAACAAGATCTGGGTTGGGAACCTCTTCAACACAAGCGTCTACGTGCTGGGAGTGTCAGGTTATTGGAACTTTAAGCCCAAGTATCTGGAGACTCAGTTCCGACAGTCTCCCACCACCGCCAGTTACTACACAGGTAGGTGTTTCCATGCGCTACTAAGTTACTCTCTTACACAAATAACCTGCACATAGGAGAGAGGAGCTTACGAAGACGTTTCGGTTCGACTTAGACCATTGGCAAAGTCACTTTGTAAATGGTCCAAGCCGGACCGAAACGTCGTCGTAAACTCTTCTCTCTTATGTGCGGGTTATTTGTGTGTTGTTCCAGTCACGGTATTGTTTTTTTTTCTTATTTATGGACTCTCTTACACCATCTCTTTCCCCTCTTCCACCTCCTCCTCCTCCTCATCCTCTTACTCCTTTCATCAGTTTTCATCCTCCAGGATGTCAGTTCTGTTTCCAAAAGGCTTACCTGTGGGTTCGCCACTGGTCTCGATGGCCCCATACTAACTCCTGTGCCTTCCTCTCGGCAGGTCTAGCTAGCTTCGTGTCACTGGTGTTTGGCACTGGTCTTGGAGGTGCCGTACTGAGGTGGGCTCATCCAGGGCCAAGGTTCGTCACTGGTTACAACATCTTCATCACACTGCTGACGTGTGCCAGCTACATCATCCTCTCCTTCGTCGGCTGTCCAAGACTCGACGTACTCGGCCCCGTGGACGGGTGAGCTAGCGAACACATACACAATACTTAACAGTAAAGTATAGGGGAAGGGGGTGCAAAAAATTTTGAGGTCCATCATATCGTAAGGTCTGAAACTCTAGGTGAATTAACGTATACGTCAGGCCAGCGGTGCTCCTGGTGGTGTGTCGCGTCGTAACTGAAACAGAAAATTAAGAGAAAACCAGAAGACAAATCGCTCAGCCCATAGTGGGTATTTGTGAGTTTTGTTTTCAGTCACGGTATTGTTCCAACCACGGTATTGTTCAAACGACGGTGTTGTTCCAGTGACTGTATTGTTCCAACCACGGAGTTGTTCCAACGACGGTATTGTTCCAACCACGGTATTGTTCCAGTCACGGTATTGTTCCAGCCAACTTCGTTGCTCCACCCACGGCTCCAGTTAAGATATTATGATATTTTTTTGTCTTAATTAGATAAACATTAATATCCTATGAGAGAACTTGGTGGATAATGAAGTAACTCATTTATGCTCGGCTTTGACCACCTCCGGTCATCACAGTATATACAACTAACATTGCAAACACCAGTTATGGCAATGTCTCTGGAATTTTGGGTAAGACGAGAACAAAATAAAACCACAAAGGGGTTGTACTCATCTTTTGATGTTGACGGCTCTAGATCCACTCACAGCCTCTCTCGAGGGTTCTATCCTCGAAGAGCCGTCTAAATACCCACCAAGGCTGTGTGAAAAGTGTGTATATATTGTTAGCACATGTTTATAGATTGCAGGTGCCACTGTTTCATGTTTTAACACACGCAAGGTCGTGGGTGAAATATTACCTGGTTGTGGGCGATGGCCCGCTTATGACGACCTCGAAGTGGTCAGTCCTATTCATTTATCAACCTTGACATCCAAAAAATGGACAGGTGTGAATTGTTCTGAAATTCAATGCTTTATTGTTGGAGCGAAGTTCAAGAAGTGCCTCTGCCAGTCCTTCAGGATCTTCTGGCACATCAACAATTTCACACTTGAAGGGATTCACAACCCAACCAAGATCTGGAAAGTAATCAGAGAACCACTCTCTGAGTTTGGTAAGATGCCCTATAACTGCAAGCAAAGATAATTACTGATAGCGAGATAGGTCACTAGGCCAAAAGTTAGGTGATGATGTGTCAACAATGGTACATACGGCTGTCGTGCCGGCTCCTGACACTCACGGCTGCTAACACTCACGGTGTTGCCAGCCGTTGCAGTTCTTATCCGTTTTACATCACTGCCAATTTAAGAAATGGCCCCTACAAATTAGATTTTTCGTTTTATTGAGAAATTATAAATTATTTGTTTGAAAGAAAATATAACTTTCGTAATTTGCATCGTTTATTAAATAATAAATTTCTATGTAATTTTATATACAAGCCTTCATTACCCCCCTAAATTTTCATTTTTACAACATTTGGGGTAATTTACCCCAGTTCCCCGACCCCTACCCTAGTGGTACTTGCTCCACCCGTTCGAGCAACGCATGCGACGTTAACCACGAATGTTTCTGCGTCCGGCTAAGCTGGCCACTTTGTCACACAAGCGTTCACTCGTCAAATGTCTCGTTCTCGACTGACATTTCTCTACTGAACATAACTAGAAGTCCGTAACAATTCACGACAGGAAGGACTGACAGGTGCTAGTGCGCAGTTCTTCCTGGAGATTGTCAGTGCAAATGGAAAACGCATAAGTAACTGGCCACGAAATGCTTCTACCTATCGACACAAGGTGGCATGGATGGTTCGTCACATATTACCACGCCGAGGACTCACTGCAATCTACCCTTCCATCCACTGCAATCTACCCTTCCACCCACTGCAATCTACCCTTCCATCCACTGCAATCTACCCTTCCATCCACTGCAATCTACCCTTCCATTCACTGCAATCTACCCTTCCATCCACTGCAATCTATCCTTCCATCCACTGCAATCTACCCTTCAAGGGATGTTCTGCTGACTTGTAGTCTACAGACGTTCGATACCAGCATTTGCCATTGGCTACAGTCAAGGATTACTGTTTCCTTCAGATAATTAGCCTCAAGTTCGAGGCTAATTGTCTTGATTTTTTTAATGGTCATGAGAAGCTACAGTTCCCACAGGCTAAGACATGAGTATACAATCGAGCAGAGACTCGTAAGTCTTGTGACGCCGTGACATACATATCTGATCTATGTTCAGTTTGCAATATTGCTTAGTGATGGACGCGTGAAGTTGAGCTGTTGTTTGTCGTACATTCAGTCTTCATCTCCAGATGTCGGTGAATAAAAGGTCAACAGCCCTTTACAGGAGGCGTCTGCCCCAAGGGGGCATCTTTACCCAGGGGGCATCTTTCCCAGGGGGGCATCCATGTCCCTGGGTAGGAGAAATAATAATTTTCTCCACAATCTAGAGCTAGTATGAAGGATAAACGCTATTATTTTGTGTACTATTATTTTATAAGACAATATAAGAAACTAACAGTGTCCCCCCCCTCTCTCTCTCTCTCTCCTGGTGTCTACCGACCTCTCCCTGGTGTCTACCGACCTCTCCCTGGTGTCCTCCGACCTCCAGATCACCTCCGCCAGGGTGCTCGTCGGAGTGCGGGTGCTCAGAGAGGTATTCACCGATGTGTAGCCTCGACAACTTTACACTTTACTACTCTCCTTGCTACGCTGGCTGCCTCACTGTCAACACCACCGCCAGCCCAATAGTAAGTCATGCTTCTCTCTCCCTCTCTCTCTCTCTCTCTCTTTCTCTCTCACCTGCTTCTCTCACTCTTCCCTGTTTTTCACACTTTCACCTGTGTCTTATTCTCCAAGACTGAGACACAGGTGTTACTGAGTAAAGGTTTCCAAATTGAACTACGTTTTTGGGTTGTATATTCAGGTGTCTGTATACAGCTGTGTTGTATTTACATGAGTATGAAGAGTGTCAGTGTATACAGCTGTGTGTTGTATTTACAGGAGTACGGCGAGTGTCAGTGTATAGAGAATCTGGTGACCAACACCAGTCATACACCTCTCTCCTTGTTCCCTGACAACTCTTATTTCACCAACAACACTGACAACACTGACAACATAGCTCAGTATAAGGTAAGATGTCTTAATGTTAGTAGAATTACCCACAATATGTTAGGTAAAAAGGACTCTCTCTCTCTCTCTCTCTCTCTCTCTCTCTCTCTCTCTCTCTCTCTCTCTCTCTCTCTCTCTCTCTCTCTCTCTCTCTCTCTCTCTCTCTCTCTCTCTCTCTCTCTCTCTCCGTCTTTGTCATTAATTGTGTGTTATTTATAGTTACTTTTATTACTTTTACTATTATTACCCTAATTATTATTATTATTATAATAGTGTTTATTATTATTATATTATTATTATTATTATTTATTATTATTATTATTATTATTATTATTATTATTTATTATTATTATTATTATTGCTATTATTATTGTTATTTATTATTATTAGTGTTATTATTATTATTATTATTATTATTATTATTATTATTATTATTATTATTATTATTATTTATTATTATTATCATTATTATTATTGCTGCTGCTACTACTACTAATAATTCTGCTTATACTACTACTACTACCACCACCATTACTACTACTGCTACTACTATTAATACCATTGCTACCACTACCACCACTACTAATATTACTACTACAACTAATATACTATTAGTAATACTACTACTACAACTACTACTACAACAACAACAACAACTACTACTACTACTACCACAAGTACTACTACTACAACTACTACTACAACTACTACTGCTACAACTACTACTACTACTACTACCACAAGTACTACTACTACAACTACTACTACAACTACTACTGCTACAACTACTACTACAACTACAACTACTACTACTACTTCTACTAATCTAGTACTATTATTACTACTACCGTCACTACGGCTACTACTACTTCTACTAATCTAATACTATTATTACTATTACTACCACTACTACTACAACCACTACTAGTAAGATAACTGTTGACTACCTTCAGGGCTGGGGACGGAGCGGGTACTGCCCTGAACCTTGCAATAAGTTCATCTATTATATCGTCATCCAGATGGTGATCAAGACTGTGGCATCCACTGGTAGAGTGGGGAGTAACCTCATCCATCTCAGGTAGATAACTATGGAGGGTCCTCTTAGATAACTGTGGAGGGTCCTCTTAGATAACTGTGGAGGGTCCTCTTAGATAACTGTGGAGGGTCCTCTTAGATAAGAACACTTTCCTGCATAACGATATAACATAACAATGAGAGGTACTTATCTTTTAACAGCACGATCTCCAGCAGCTTCTTCCTGGAACTGCCCTCGATGTTCCTCAATGTTGCGTCCACATTGGCTGAGGACAGCGAGTAATCTGGGTTAACTCTGACTCATTGTATGTATTCCAGTGTGTCAATTTTACTTGCGTCACAGTGTTGGTTACGCTTGTGTATTCTAAAACTCCCTATACTGTTCTGCTGCTGCGGAATTGATAAAAGAGAGATTAGATAAGACTGACCCCTCGGTAACACCGCACACGTTGTCTTGATAGTAAGAATGAAGAGATGTCACTCTGGGCATGTTGCACTGGTGTTTGCCACAACACGTCGGGTATGTTACTGCACAATCACACCGGTTACACATTACTGTCACTCACTGTCTCTCGTTTATGAGTTTCGTGGGATTATCCACAGTAGGAAACAGTTAAATAACACTGTATTTTACTTCAGCACTCCCAATGTTCACTCGAGAAAGGGACACGGAGACGCTAGTAATCACTTCGTGATTAGTTCTACCGCGAATTTACTGACTCGTATTTGTCACTTGAGTAATTCCTAGTGTCTTTAGAGATTGTCAAAACAAGTCTATGAACGCGCAGCCACTGCTGTCTCTATATTCTTTAGCGGGAGAGAAGTGATGCTCTCTAAGACATGTTCCAGTTCGTTCTTTGTGGCAGTCTGACCTCCTTGGGCGCCGCCATCCGCGTCCCACTAAGGAAACGCTAACTTCAGCTTCACAGACATTCATTGCTAGCTTCTGCAACAGACTTCGTCCTAGAATCCCTGTTTCTTGGTATCCTCGGCGGGTTTAAAGAGCCATGATACCCCTAGCTTGTTGATCAAGTACGGGTGGATTTTAGTCAAATTTTTACTGCTATAGGGAAATAGCAGCCCCTCTATGCTTCCCTTAGGCTTCCCCTAGGCTTCCCTTAGGCTTCCCCTCTTCTTTCCTAAACTTCCATTGGTATGTACTAGTGGCCAGATAGTCTAGTAAAAGAGGTGTGGCCTGGCGAATCCTTGTGTATCATATGATCTTGATAAGTGTTGTATGGGAATTGTGAAGTTATTCGGTTTACAGCCTCTGAGAGGGGTTCTAAATTTCATAAACAGGAGATTTTTCTCCACAATAACCTCATCCGTCTCACGTAGATATATTAACATGCATGATGTTACATATTACTGTGTATCCCTCGTGAGTCTGCGTTACTGTGTATCCCTAGTGAGTCTGTTACTGTGTATCCCTGGTATGTCTGCGTTACTGTGTACCCCTGGTGAGTCTGTGTTACTTTGTATCCCTAGTATGTCTGTATTACTGCGTATCCCTGGTATGTCTGTGTTACTGTGTATCCCTGGTATGTCTGTGTTACTGTGTATCCCTGGCATGTCTGTGTTACTGTGTATCCCTGGTGAGTCTGTGTTACTGTGTATCCCTGGTATGTCTGTGTTACTGTGCATCCCTGGCATGTCTGTGTTACTGTGTATCCCTGGTGAGTCTGTGTTACTGTGTATCCCTGGTGAGTCTGTGTTACTGTGTATCCCTGGTGAGTCTGTGTTACTGTGTATCCCTGGTTTGTCTGTGTTACTGTGTAGCCCTAGTATGTCTGTGTTACTGTGTATCCCTGGTGAGTGTTACTGTGTATACCTGGTAAATTTCCTATATTACTGTGTATCCCTGAAAGATTTCCTATATTACTGTGTATCCCTGAAAGATTTCCTATATTACTGTGTATCCCTGGCAGGTCTGTGGCAGACGAGGACAAGGGACTGGCACTTGGCACTCTCAATGTGTTCCTCAGTGTGTTTGCTTTCATACCGGCACCCATCATGATGGGTGCCATAATAGGTAAGTAGAGAAAGTGAGAGAGAGAGAGAGAGAGAGAGAGAGAGAGAGAGAGATAGTTAGAGAGATAGTTATATATATATATATATATATATATATATATATATATATATATATATATATTAAATATATATATATATATATATATATATATATATATATAAATATATATATATATATATATATCCTTGTTGCAGACACTGATGGTTCATATATACCCTTGTTGCAGACACTGATGGTTTATATATACCCTTGTACACTGATGGTTCATATATACCCATGTTGCAGACTCTGCGTGTTTGGTGTGGGATAATAAGTGTGGTCGGTCTGGCAACTGTTGGCTTTACGACACTGATAAATTCAGATTAATCTTACATCTGGTGCCTGCAGGTACGTATATACATTGCATATATATCGACATGTATATGTCTCAGTGTGTTTGCAGTGAAAATTTAACAATGTTCCAGGCATTAAGATAAGATTTTTCTTCGGATTTTTAACGCTGGAGGGTGAGCCTCCCAGGATAACCCAAGTTACTGTGTCATCGAGCACTGTCTGTATTATTTCTACTGGGATCCTTTAATCTTATCCACCCAGGATGCGACCTACACCAGTCGACTAACACCCAGGTACCTACTTGCTTGCTAGGTGAACAGGGACAGCAGGTGTAAGGAAACATGCCCAGTGTTTCCACCCGGCCGGGGACTGAACCACGGACACTGTGTGAGGTGAGGGCGTTACCTACTAGGCCACGGGAAACCGAAAAATATTCTGACTAGTGGTAAACAGGTGACCTGCAGCCTTAATGACTCTACTGTAGTAGATAGGCTTTAAACCTCATTAACCATCCTAAGACCTTAAGTAGCCATCTGATATTTTTTTTTCTTTCTTCTTCCTTCAACTTAGTTTTTAATTGACTCATAACAAGACAATGTCTCATAATATATTCGGCTTCAACTTTTCATGTGTAGTGTACGATAACCAGGAGCACATGCTAGCAACACTGAGATGTGCACTTGTCCTGTGATGTAATGGTTTAGAAAACCGATAAGTTGAAGAATGAGACACTTGTGCAACATTTGGGAATCTTAACTGTGGCTTCTTCAGTCCAATACGGAGAAGAACGGTGGAAGATGAGGAGGAGTTTGAGGTAACCAGTCCCTATATGCGGGTTATTTGCGTATTGTTCCAGTCACAGTATTGTGCCTTTTTGTTCTTTGTATATACACCTGTAGCTAAATGGTTATAACTATGACAGGTAAGCCAGCGGAAGGCTTTGGTCAGATGACCGAAAGCTCCAACGGCGGGTCATCATCTGACTAAGACCCGCGTCAGGAAATACTTGTCCTGTTTCCTGACGAACCTTACCTAACCTAACCTATACATCAATGTCCTTTCATCCTAGTTATTAATGTTATTATTATTGAACGTAATGGAACCTTGAAGGACTAGTGTTCTTGAGAGTCATCAGTAGTCACTTCAAATTTTTCACACACTTATGCATGCGCATGCACTTAACCATTCACCTTGCGCAATCGCTTATCATTCATGCATGAACACGCACTCTTCATCAAGCATATTTGTCACTCATGCGTCTCGCTCTTTTTCCAGCCTTCATCTTCCTCTCGGTGTTCGGAGACCTGGTCGTCTTCTACTACAGTCGTCAGCTAGACCTCTACGGTGACCGGGACGACGATAAGGTCCTGGAGAAGACCCTGGGTCGTGATGACGACAAGGAGGATCAGAAGGTAGCCAAGGACGGTGAGAAACCTCCTATAGATGCTTAGATACCCTATCAAACAGAAGATCAGATGTTCATTTGGACGATAAGAAGATTGTCATGGGGTCTTTTATGCTCGACAAGAACGATCAGATGCTCAACATAGACGATCAGAAACCTCCAGAGGAAAATTAGATTCTTTATCTAACGAACGAATAGATCCTCATTTGTTCTATAAGAAACTACCAACGAAAGATTACATACTCTTTTAAAATGATCAGATGCTCACCATAGACGATCAGCTACTCCCTAAGGAACCTTAGATACAATATCCGACGGAAGATCAGATGTTCATTTGGACGATAATAAATAAAAAACCGGAATAAACTGGTTCTATATGATAAACACAGAATCAGAAATTAAAAACTTTATTCAGAGAACATCTCGCCGGCACAGTAGGCGTTTTTAATCCTGCTGTTCAGGCAAAACATTCTCTGAATATAAATTTTGGGTTACTGCTTTGTTGTGAATTCTGACGCTGACAGAGAGAGCAAATGTTTCATTTTGGGAATATTGTGAATACGAATTATGGCTGGAAGTTGAGTGACTTCCTTTATAAGAGAGAAAACAACTATTTCCAAGACACTCAAGGTGACCAGGAGACCTCCGTCATGTCTCCAGGACCTCAAGGTCAACCAGAAGACCGTCACGTCTCCAGGACCATCAAGGTCAACCAAGAGACCTCCGTCACGTCTCCAGGACCCTCAAGGTCAACCAAGAGACTCCCGTCATTTCTCCAGGGCCCTCAAGGTCAATCAGGATACCTCCATTATGTCTCCAGTACCTCAAGGTCAACCAGGAGACCTCCATCACGTTTTTAGAGCCCTCAAGGTCAACCAGGAGACCTCCGTCACTTCTCCAAGACCCCCAGGGATCCTTATATTACGTTCTTAGTGGGGGTTGCATGACCTTGCCTACGAATTTAGCATTTATATATATATATATATATATATATATATATATAATATATATATATATATATATATATATATATATATATATATATATATATATATATATATATATATAATATATATATATATATATATATATATATATATATATATATATATATATATATATATATATATATATATATATATATATTAAATTTTGGAGCGTTTCAACACTTGCTGTTAGCAGGAGAGCTTACTTTAGTTCATCTTAGACACAGGTGCAACTAGTAAAACACTTTCTTCGCTCCTGGTGAGCGAAATGTAGCAGCAGTAGATGTTTCGTTGCACATGTGTACATTGAGCCAACATAACGGTAGTCTTGACTGGTTAGTCAATAGAGTTTAGAGTCTATCGACTGAGTCGTTAAGGCTGCATGTCACCTATTTACCACCAGTCAAGAATACTTTAATACCCAAAGTATGAATTAAAGTAACCTGTCAACATGTATACACTGGAAGACATACACCTCACCCATGTTTATCTTTGTATTCTTGCAACGACATTCAATCGTCTGAAAATTCATTTGTTGCCCTTTAAGGATTAGAATGGCATATAGTTACGTCAATTTTTATTAGGCTTATATTTTATTTCAAACTTAAATTTACGAACCTGCTTAACATATTATTTAAAAATATCGCAATAAAGAATAACTTAATACACATAACCTAACAAAGAATTTGCATAATTATCTCTATTCTTTATGATTAGGAAAAATTTTGAGGTGATACTAATTTTTTGTAGTTTGCAAATTTAAATAATAACTTTTGGATAAAATATATATAGATTATTACTACTATAAATCGCTAAGAAATATATTCTTGATCAGTGATGACCAGGTTCCTGCAGCCTTCATGACCTTCCTGAAGTAGATAAACGTAATAAACGATAACTCGGGGTCTCCTGCGAGTGAAACATCCTGTAGATACATAATACACCTGGAAGGAGAGCTACAGTGAGGCGAGGGAAATCCTTGTGTCATTGGAAGCGCACAACACTCACACTGGTCAGCTATGTTGAAGTGTACTATGGCTACTGCAACTTTCACATGACGTGTGGTGCCAGGGCTTGGCCAAGGCTCAAATCATTTACCTACATATTACAGGGATAATTTTGGCAGTGGAATTGTGCAAGCATGGCACCCCATGCTCGTACAACCTGGAGGCAGGAGCCTGTAATCAGCGTCAGTCCCTTCAGCTGCAGGGTTGCATGTATGGAGGTTTGCATCGTTACACGGCCACTTTTCTCGCCCTGCACACTGACAGCTCCTACACCGTCTTCCTTGACTTTGTAGCAGGATTTGGCAGTTAACCCACATGTAATCATTAGTAAACGTGTCTAAATGTGTGTAGGAGGAGGTGCTCCTGTGCTGGATCAAATTCTAGTGTCCATATGAGTCTTGTGTGTTGTTCCAAGAAAACAGAAGTGTAACTAAAGACTTTGAATTAGGAACGGCACTGAGGTGTCCTCAATCCCACCTTAATAAATATTCTAATTAATGCTTTAAAAGTATACTCTGCTAATGCAGCCCGATTATTGCATGATTAACTATCCTGGTGAGACAGTGATTCAAACCAGAGCATTCTCCATCACCCAAAATATCATTGAGTATGAACTCAAATTAAGTTGCAATAATTACGTGAATAAAGAGAAGGGTAGACGAGGGGCTCGAACCGCCGTCCTTAAATTGACAATCCGACGCTCTACCGTCTAGGTTAAACACACACACACACACACACACACACACACACACACATACACACACACACACACACCACACACACACACACACACACACACACACACACACACACACACACACACACACACACACACACACACACACACACACACACACACACACAATATATATATATATCTATATATAATATATATATATATATATATATATATATATATATATTATATATATATATATATATATATATTGCACGTGAGTACATATTACTGATGTATGATGAGTACCAACCTGTTATAAGAACATAAGAACGAAGGAACACTGCAGCAGGCCTACTGACCCATGCGAGGCAGGTCCAAGTCTCCTACCGGCTTAAGCCAATGCACCCAACCTAGTCAGGTCAGGTCACATTGACTTAAGGGAGGAACACGGCAACCGTCCTGGTAGCACAAGCTATCAGGTCCAACTCACACCCACCCACATCCACTCATGTATTTATCCAACCTATTTTTAAAGCTACACAACGTTCTAGCCTCTATAACTGTACTTGGGAGTTTGTTCCACTCATCCACAACTCTATTACCAAACCAGTACTTTCCTATATCCTTCCTGAATCTGAATTTTTCTAACTTAAAACCATTGCTGCGAGTCCTGTCTAGGCTAGATATTTTCAGCACACTATTTACATCCCCTTTATTTATTCCTGTCTTCCATTTATACACCTCAATCATATCCCCCCTAATTCTACGTCTTTCTAGAGAGTGAAGATTCAAGGCCCTTAGTCTATCCTCATAGGGAAGGTTTCTGATACATGGGATCAACTTTCTCATCCTCCTTTGTACATTTTCCAGAGCATTTATATCCATTCTGTAATACGGTGACCAAAACTGTGCAGCATAATATAAATGAGGCCTAACCAAGGATGTATAGAGTTGAAGAACAACCTGAGGACTCCTATTATTTATGCTTCTTGATATAAAGCCAAGGATTCTATTAGCTTTATTGCGAACACTTATGCACTGTTGTCTTGGTTTTAGATTACTGCTAACCAGAACGCCTAAATCTTTTTCGCAATCCGTAATATTAAGATCTACATTATTTAGTTTATATGTGGCATGGTTATTGTCCTGTCCAACATTTAGAACTTTGCATTTGTCTATATTAAATTGCATCTGCCACTTCTCCGACCACTGCATCAGTCTACTCAAATCTTCCTGGAGTGCTCTAATGTCCTCGTCAGAATGAATTCGACGGCCTATTTTGGTGTCATCGGCAAACTTGCTGATGTCGCTCTTTATGCCCTCATCTAGTGTCGTTTATGTAGATTGTGAACAGCAGGGGGCCCAACACTGACCCTGTGGAATTACCGCTCGTGAGCTTCCCCACTCTGATTTTCTCCCATTTATGCAGACTCTGCTGCCTATTTGTCAACCATGCCTCTATCCAGGAAAAAATTTCTCCTCCTATTCCATGTGCCTTAATTTTCCTCAATAGTCTGATGTGGGACCCTGTCAAAAGCCTTACTGAAGTCCATATACACAATATCATATTCATTACCATAATCTACCTCCTCAAATACCTTAGTGAAAAAAGTTAACAAATTCGTAAGGCAGGAACGCCCCTTTGTAAAACCATGCTGAGATTCGTTGATTAATTTATGCTTTTCAAGGTGGCTACGAACTGCCTCGGCAATTATTGATTCCATAAATTTTCCCACTATGGAGGTTAGGCTTATTGGTCTATAGTTCGAAGCTAAGGACCTGTCACCTGCTTTGAAAATAGGTATCACATTTGCCATTTTCCACTTATCTGGCACCATGCCAGTTTGTAGTGATATGTTGAAAAGATTAGCCAAAGTTTGCTAAGCTCCTCTTTACATTCCTTTAGAACCCTGCATACAGTTCATCAGGGCCTGGGGATTTGTTAGGTTTTAATTTATCTATTTGCCTAAGGACCATGTCACTTGTGACCCTAATCGTGCATAGTTTATTATCGTCCTGTTCCACATAATTTATTATTTCTGGAATATCGCTGGTATCCTCCTGTGTAAAAACTGAGAGGAAGTATGTGTTAAAACTTCTACACATTTCCTTATCACTGTCAGTGAGCTGACCCGAGGAACTTTTGAGTGGGCCTATCTTGTCCCTGATCTTACTTCTGTATACCTGAAAGAATCCTTTTGGGTTAGTCTTCGAATCTCTTGCAACTTTAACCTCATAATCTCTTTTTGCTTTTCTAATTCAGTCATAACACTTCCTTTACAATATATTCGATCGCTTTTCAAAATAATTTTTATGTTTTTATAATTCTAAATATACAATCTGAATGGTAATTAATTCATATTTGCATTCATAAATCTACTTTTATGTTGATGCACAGAAAATACCGGCAATTAATTTTGTCAACCAATCACCATCGTCGTTACGAGCTGCGCTAATTTCTCCTTTGTTTACAAAGTCTGAGTTGCCAGATATAATTCTGCTCAGGAGAGAGAGTAGAAGAACTTTTTTCCGCAATAATACAACTGAACTTAAGAAATCGTAATGACACGATTGCAAATAAACCATACCCCCGGCCGGGATTGAACCCGCGGTCATAGAGTCTCAAAACTCCAGCCCGTCGCGCTAGCCACTAGACCAGCTAGCCACAATAAGATTCATCCAACTAGGTATATTTCTACACCATAGGAAAGTTAGCACAGGCTAACTGGCTAGCTGGTCTAGTGGCTAGCGCGACGGGCTGGAGTTTTGAGACTCTATGACCGCGGGTTCAATCCCGGCCGGGGTATGGTTTAATACAACTGAAATAATATAGATGAGGACAGAACTTGATATATCTCAAGCATCAGAGATAGTGTCACTAAAAGGAATGTTCATATTGGTGTTAATATACTGAGGCAAATCCTTGCACACACGATCTCCAAACTTGCTTCACTACAAGTTCTCCTCCAGATGAAGTATGGAAACTGGAACTGACTTCCCAATGAATCAGAAACATAATTTATGTCAGGATAACAGCGACACTTCCCTGCACCATGGCGAGCTACCTCTTTCCAAATTACTATTCTTCATCTAGGCCAACACTTCGTCTTAATTATTCGAGCAACATACTATAGGTTATATTCATGCCTCAGTCACACAGCACTTACTCTCTTCCAGAAATTATGTAAGTTGATGACTGTCCATCAACCCACTGGTGCAGCTGGTAAAACACTGTTGTCATGCATGACCATTTCTCTCATGAACCACCTAGAGCACGCATGAGCAACTACGCTGCCACTCTTCAAACACAGCTCCTTGCTAGATTCCTTCCACTCAAATGTGTTCATGTATCCAAAGTTAATACCTTAAATGTAAGTGATATTTTATTATTCTTATATGGTCTTAACTTCCTAAATGTCAACTGTGTCATGCTGGTGTTTAATTAGTTTAATATGTTTATTATGCACCCCATACCCATCCTGTGGGCGGTAGTTACCCCATACCCATCCTGTGGGCGGTAGTTACCCTATACCCATCCTGTGGGCGGTAGTTACCCCATACCCATCCTGTGGGCGGTAGTCACCCCATACCCATCCTGTGGGCGGTAGTCACCCCATACCCATCCTGTGGGCGGTAGTCACCCCATACCTATCCTGTGGGCGGTAGTCACCCCATACCCATCCTGCAGGCGGTAGTCAAAAGATTACAGAGGTATATAATTGGTCCAGGGACTGGACTCCAAAGTTTAGATAGCTGAGCAAGTTACAGAGGTAATGAACTCACAATTTACAAAGGTAATGAACTCCAGGTTACAGAGGAGGTAATGAAAGTCTTAATTACTACAATTTACAGAGGTAACTCTGTAACCTTCCACATTTACAAAGGTAATGAACTCCAGGTAGATGAGTGAAGTAGAGTTTGATGTTCTGCTCTATCATCTACTATAACCTTTTCTAGGAGGTACGTCTGCTAACCATTCCTTAAAAATAAGACGTCACTGTAATATATATTATATATATATATATATATATATATATATTTATATATATATATAATATATATATATATATATTTATATATTGTGTGTGTGTTTTCTAGCTTCATTTTTGCTTTATTGATATAACTGAGATTTACCAGACAAAAACATTTCATTAGTAGTCATAAAAATGTTTGAGAGGAGGTTAGGCGCCACTAACCTAAAACTTCATGTGTGCTACCTAATTAGACATTAAAACAGTGACTTAAAAGACTGGTTTATGCCGCTCTCAGTAACCTAGTGAACCACAGGTGGCCCGCGGTTCAAATGTTAGACGCTCCTGGTCCAGATAATGTGAGAGATGACGTAAATGTTGTGACAGATGTAATGAGAGTAAAACTGTTATTACTTGACAGAGAGAGAGAGAGAGAGAGAGAGAGAGAACTTTCTCCTTTACTATGCTAACATGATATACAAACTGAGCACCAGAGACAATGTCCTTGCAGACTCACCCTTGTTTATATATCACTGGACGAGGCCACTTAATGTTCACCCTCACTTGCTCTCTCACTCTCTTACTTGTTCCCTCACTCTCTCGTTCTCTCACTTGTTCTCTCACTCTCTTGTTCCCTCACTCTCTCGTTCTCTCACTTGTTCTCTCACTCTCTTGTTCCCTCACTCTCTCGTTCTCACTTGTCTCTCACTCTCTTACTTGTTCCCTCACTCTCTCGTTCTCTCACTTGTTCTCTCACTCTCTTGTTCCCTCACTCTCTCGTTCTCTCACTTGTTCTCTCACTCTCTTGTTCCCTCACTCTCTCGTTCTCTCACTTGTTCTCTCATTCCCTTGTTCCCTCACTCTCTCGTTCTCTCACTTGCTCTCTCACTCTCTTACTTGTTCCCTCACTCTCTCGTTCTCTCACTTGTTCTCTCACTCTCTTGTTCCCTCACTCTCTCGTTCTCTCACTTGCTCTCTCACTCTCTTGTTCCCTCACTCTCTCGTTCTCTCACTTGTTCTCTCACTCTCTTGTTCCCTCACTCTCTCGTTCTCTCACTTGCTTCTCTCACTCTTACTTGTTCCTCACTTCCGTTCTTCACTGTCTTCCTCTCTTTCTCCTCCTCTCATTTCTCTCTCTTGTTCCTCACTCTTCTTCTCACTTGTTCTCTCACTCTCTTGTTCCCCTCCTTCTCTCGTCTTCTCCTCACTTGTTCTCTCACTCTCTTGTTCCCTCACTCTCTCGTTTCTTTTCACTTGTTTTTCTTCCTCTCACTCTCTTTCTTGTTCCTCACTCTCATTTTCTCACTTGTTCCCTCACTCTCTCGTTCTCTCACTCTCTTGTTCCCTCACTCTCATTTTCTCACTTGTTCCCTCACTCTCTCGTTCTCTCACTTGTTCTCTCACTCTCTTGTTCCCTCACTCTCTCGTTCTTTCACTTGCTCTCTCACTCTCTTTCTTGTTCCCTCACTCTCATTTTCTCACTTGTTCCCTCACTCTCTCGTTCTCTGTCACTCACCTCTTGTTCCCTCACTCTCTTTTTCACTTGTTCCCTCACTCTCTGTCTCTTCTCTCACTTGTTTCTTCTCATCTCTCTTGTTCCTTCACTCTCTCGTTTTCTATTGTTCTCCTTCTCTTGGTTCCATTGCACTTCTCGTTCTCAGTCCTTGTCGTCTCTCTTATCTCTTTGTTGGGTGTTCGCTCCTGCTCGAATCTCCGTTCTCTCGTACTTTGTTTTCTCTCTCTATCTCCTCTTTACTCTCTTGTTCTCTCTCTCTCTACTCTCTCTCTCTACTTTCTCACTTCTCTCTCTCTCTCACTCTCTCTTTATATACTTGTTTGCCCACAATACCAAGCACTAAGTTTGTGATAACACATTTCCTCTCTGTCTTAGTTCCTTGTATCGTCTATGAGGTGTAGTGGTGTGTGTGTGAGATGTGTGGGTGTTGCTGTCACTTCCGAGACTGTGTGTGCTTGTGGATAGTAGTGTTCTTGTGTGTGTGTTATGGTGTGATGTGGTGATCACGTGCGTGCGCAGGAGAGTTGATTTGCGTACTTCAGAACCAGTTCCTAGTCCAAGTCATGCGTCTTCCTCTCTTAAAAGTAGTTCGGCCAAGTTCAAATTGCAGCTCTTACTAGCACTGTGAATCTCACATTTTCGAAAGTTATCCCTTATCTCCATCTATGTCCTCACTCTCTCTCTCTATATCTCCTCTATCCTCTCTCTCTAATCTGATAACAGTTCTCTATCAAGCTCTCTCATTCTCTTTCTCTTGTACTTGGGGGTGCCCCACTCAAACACATAAGTTATGTTATAGCAACGTTATAACTTCACGGCCGAACTTGTCCCTCACTCATAATAATCTAATTACGTAGGAGGTGTAGGGTGAAGTTAGAGCCAACTGTGGGCCAGAGTTCATCTGCTCACTTCACGAACTTTCTCTGATGTCCTAATGTGGGAAGAACCTGTTCCACTTGCTAGAAAGGTCAGAACTTCATGAGCAACGACTGCTGGTGGAGTCACCACTGCACAGCCAAACTAGGTGTGATTTGGCCGCTACTTGGTCCGTGAAAGATATCCCCGTATTCCATTATGTTCAGCTTCCTCTCATTTAATAATGTGAAAAAGGTATCCCCGTATCTCATAAGCCCAGCCTCCTCTACCTTAATAATGTGAAAAAGGTATCCCTGTATTCCACAGCCCAGCCCATTCTATAGTCTCCTTTACAGTTTGAATCCCAATTTTCCTCTAATTGAGATAGACCAGTGTTGAAAGTTTGAAGCCTATTAGAAGAGGCTTTCTCAAGTTATCACAGTGAATGGTGTATATAACATTGAGCAGAGGACACCTGCACATGCCAGTAGTTGCAAGAATCTTGCCCTACTTACATTACACCAGCGTTAAAAATTTGAAGCCAGTCGGATGAGGCATTCTCAAGTTATAAAAGAAAACCCTGAAGGAAGAAAACTAAAGAGGACAAAATTCAAGGAGCACCTTAAAGTTACAAGTGGATCCTTGATTACTGATGGCTGCCCGACTTGTGGTATAAGAGCATCACTCTTCCCCAGACGCTCTATGACGCCTTCACCGCTTACCTAATATAATAATAATAATAATAATAATAATAATAATAATAATAATAATAATAATAATTATAACAATAATAATAATAATAATAATATCCCAGTTGTGCTACAATATTTCAGGTGTCACTCACCTTAATGAAGGAGGGAGGTGAGGGAGGGAGGAGGAGGAGGGAGGAGGGAGGGAAGGAGGAGGGAGGGAGGAAGGAGGGAGGGATGGGAGGAGGGAGGGAGGGAGGGAGGGTGGGAGGAGGGAAGGAGGGAGGGAGGAAGGAGGGAGGGAGGGAGGGTGTAAAGCAGCCTTGATCCATGGAAGTGGATCTTAATTTTCGAATTTTATTAAGCAAAGTTGTTTTTTTTTGTGCAGTAAATGAGGAAAGTTCAGTGTTGGCTTCAACCCTCGACGGATGTAATTGTTGCATCTTAATTATACACTGACCAATGTTAATTGAAGAAATATTGGTGGGTATGCGATTTAGTATTTTATTATTATCAAAGGAGGGGGAGGGCAATTAAGAAATCGATATAGGTTAAGAGGGAGGAAAAAAAAGGAGAGGGAGGAAGAGGGAAAGGAGGAGGGAGGGAGGGATGGGAGGGAAGGAGGAAGGAGGGAGGGAGGAAGGGAGGGAGGGAGGAGGGAGGGAGGAGGAGGAGGAAAGGACGGGAGGGAGGGAGGGAGGGAGGAAGGAGGGAGGGAGGAGGGAAGGAGGGAGGAGGAGGAGGGAAGGAGGGAGGGAGGGAGGAAGGAGGAGGGAGGGAGGGAGGGAGGAAGGAGGGAGGAGGGAGGGGGGAAAGGGGGGAGGGAAAAGGGGGGGAGGGAGGGAGGAAGGAGGAGGGAGGGAGGAAGGGGGAGGAGGGGGGAAGGAGGGAGGGAGGGAGGGAGGAGGAAGAGGGGGAGGGAGGGAGGAGGAAGGAGGGGGGAGGGAGGGGGGAGGGAAAGGAGGGGAGGGAGGGAGGGAGGGAGGGAGGGAGGGAGGAGGGAGGGAGGAAAGGGGAAGGAAAGGGGGGGAGGGAGGAGGGAGGAAGGAGGGAAGGAGGGAGGGAGGACGGGAGGGAGGAGGAGGGAGGGAGGGAGGGGGAGGAGGAGGGAGGGAAGGGGAAGGGAGGGGAGGGAGGGAGGGAGGGAGGGAAGGGGGGAGGAGGGAAGGGAGGGGGAAAGGAAGGGAGGAGGGAGGGAAGGAGGGAGGAGGGAGGGAGGGAGGGAGGGAAATGGAGGAGGGAGGGAGGGAAGGGAGGGAGGGGGGAGGGGAGGGAGGGAAGGAAGGGAGGGGGGGGAGGGGAAGGAGGGGGGAGGGGGGGGGGAAAAAAGGAGGGAGGAGGGAGGGAGGGAGGGAAGGAGGGAGGGGGGGAGGAGGGAGGGAAAAGGGGGGAGGGAGGGAGGGAGGGGGGAGGGAGGGAGGAGGGAAGGGAAGGAGGGAGGAGGGAGGAAGGAGGGAGGGAGGGAGGGAGGAGGGGGGAGGGAGGGAGGAGGGAAGGAGGGAGGGAGGGAGGGAGGAGGGAAGGAGGGAGGAGGGAGGGGAAAGGGGGAGGGAGGGGGGGGGGAGGGAAGGAGGGAGGGAGGAGGGAGGGGGGGAAGGGGGGGAGGGAGGGAAGGAGGGAGGAGGGAGGGAGGGGAAGGAGGGAGGGAGGGAGGAGGGGGAAGGAGGGAGGGGGGGAGGAAGGAGGAGGGAAAGGGGGGGAAGGGGGGAGGGAGGAGGGAAGGAGGGAGGGAGGGAGGGAAGGAGGGAGGAGGGGGAAGGAGGAGGGGGGAGGAGGGGGGGAAGGAGGGAGGGAGGGAAGGGGAGGGAGGGAGGGAGGGGGGAAGGAGGAGGGAAGGGGGGGAGGGAGGTGAAGGAAGGAAAAGGGGGGAGGGAGGGGAGGGAGGGATGGGGGAGGGAGGAGGGAGGAGGGAGGAAGGGGGAGGGAGAGGGAGGGGGGTGAAAGGGGGGGGGAAGGAGGGAGGGGGGAGGTAGGGAGGGAAGGAGGGAGGGAGGGAGGGAGGAAGGAGGGAGGGAGGGGGGGAGGAGGGAAGGAGGGAGGGAGGGAGGAGGGGGGAGGGAGGAGGGAGGGAAGGAGGGGGGGGGGGGAGGGAGGGAGGAGGGGGGAGGGAGGGAGGAGGAGGGAGGGGAGGGAGGGAGGGAGGAGGAGGGAGGGAGGGAGGGAGGGAGGAGGGAGGGAAGGAGGGAGGGAGGGAAGGAGGGAGGGAGGGAGGGCTGGTAAAGCAGCCTTGATCCATGGAAGTGGATCTTAATTTTCGAATTTTATTAAGCAAAGTTGTTTTTTTTTGTGCAGTAACTGAGGAATGTCTCAGCTGATTGGCTTCAAACCCTCGACGCTGTAATTGTTGCATCTTAATTATCCACTGACCAATTTAATTGAAGAAATATTGGTGTATATGCGATTTATTATTATTATTATTATTATTATCAAAAGAGGGGAGGGGCAATTAAGAAATCGATATATTCAGTTAAAGAGAGAAATAAAAAAAAGGAATTAGAAAAGCAAAAAGAATTATGAGGTTAAAGTTGCAAGAGATTCGAAGACTAACCCAAAAGGATTCTTTCAGGTATACAGAAGTAAGATCAGGGACAAGATAGGCCCACTCAAAACTTCCTCGGGTCAGCTCACTGACAGTGATAAGGAAATGTGTAGAAGTTTTAACACATACTTCCTCTCAGTTTTTACACAGGAGGATACCAGCGATATTCCAGTAATGATAAATTATGTAGAACAGGACGATAATAAACTGCACGATTAGGGTCACAAGTGACATGGTCCTTAGGCAAATAGATAAATTAAAACCTAACAAATCCCCAGGCCCTGATGAACTGTATGCAAGGGTTCTAAAGGAATGTAAAGAGGAGCTTAGCAAACCTTTGGCTAATCTTTTCAACATATCACTACAAACTGGCATGGTGCCAGATAAGTGGAAAATGGCAAATGTGATACCTATTTTCAAAGCAGGTGACAGGTCCTTAGCTTCGAACTATAGACCAATAAGCCTAACCTCCATAGTGGGAAAATTTATGGAATCAATAATTGCCGAGGCAGTTCGTAGCCACCTTGAAAAGCATAAATTAATCAACGAATCTCAGCATGGTTTTACAAAGGGGCGTTTTTGCCTTACGAATTTATTAACTTTTTTCACTAAGGTATTTGAGGAGGTAGATCATGGTAATGAATATGATATTGTGTACATGGACTTCAGTAAGGCTTTTGACAAGGTCCCACATCAGAGACTATTGAGGAAAATTAAGGCACATGGAATAGGAGGAGAAATTTTTTCCTGGATAGAGGCATGGTTGACAAATAGGCAGCAGAGAGTTTGCATAAATGGGGAGAAATCAGAGTGGGGAAGCGTCACGAGCGGTGTTCCACAGGGGTCAGTGTTGGGCCCCTGCTGTTCACAATATACATAAACGACATAGATGAGGGCATAAAGAGCGACATCAGCAAGTTTGCAGATGACCCCAAAAGGGGCCGTCAAATTCTTTCTGACGAGGACATTAGAGCACTCCAGGAAGATTTGAATAGACTGATGCAGGGGTCGGAGAGGTGGCAGATGCAGTTTAATATAGACAAATGCAAAGTTCTAAATGTTGGACAGGACAATAGCCATGCCACATATAAACTAAATAATGTAGATCTTAATATTACGGATTGCGAAAAAGATTTAGGAGTTCTGGTTAGCAGTAATCTGAAACCAAGACAAAGTGCATAATTTGTTCGCAATAAAGCTAATAGAATCCTTTGGGCTTCATATCAAGAAGCATAAATAATAGGAGTCCTCAGGTTGTTCTTCAACTCTATCCATCCTTGGTTAGGCCTCATTTAGATTATGCTGCACAGTTTTGGTCACCGTATTACAAAATGGATATAAATGCTCTGGAAAATGTACAAAGGAGGATGACAAAGTTGATCCCATGTTCAGAAACCTTCCCTATGAGGATAGACTAAGGGCCTTGAATCTGCAACTCTCTGAAAGACGTAGAATTAGGGGGGATATGATTGAGGTGTATAAATGGAAGACAGGAATAAATAAAGGGGATGTAAATAGTGTGCTGAAATATCTAGCCTAGACAGAACTCGCAGCAATGGTTTTTAATTTGGAAAAATTCAGATTCGGGAAAGGATATAGGAAAGTACTGGTTTGGTAATAGAGTTGTGGATGAGTGGAACAAACTCCCGAGTACAGTTATAGAGGCCAGAACGTTGTGTAGCTTTAAAAATAGGTTGGATAAATACATGAGTGGATGTGGGTGGGTGTGAGTTGGACCTGATAGCTTGTGCTACCAGGTCGGTTGCCGTGTTCCTCCCTTAAGTCAAGGTGACCTGACCTGACTAGTTTGGGTGCATTGGCTTAAGCTGGTAGGAGACTTGGACCTGCCTCGCATGGGCCAGTAGGCCTGCTGCAGTGTTCTTTCGTTCTTATGTTCTTATGTTCTTATGTACAGTGGTCTATAAGCTATTATTTATAATACCTCATCCGACAGGTTTCAAACCTTCAACGCCTACATATCTTCAAGGCAGTTTTGGATTACCACTGGACTGTGAGGGGCGGCATGTTGCACAGTTTTACCCGAGTCCCTCACCTGTCTTAGTCTGGTGTCTCACACACAGGCAAGCGAGTCCCTCACCTGTCTTAGTCTGGTGTCTCACACACAGGCAAGCGAGTCCCTCACTGTCTTAGTCTGGTTGTCTCACACACAGGCAAGCGGTCCTCACCTGTCTTAGTCTGGTGTCTCACACACAGGCAAGCGAGGGCCCTCACCTGTCTTAGTTGGTGTCTCACACACAGGCAAGCGAGTCCCTCACCTGTCTTAGTCTGGTGCCTCAGACACAGGCAAGCGAGTCCCTCACCTGTCTTAGTCTGGTGTCTCACACACAGGCAAGCGAGTCCCTCACCTGTCTTAGTCTGGTGTCTCACACACAGGCAGCGAAAATCCCTCAACCTGTCTTAGTCTGGTGTCTCACCACAGGCAAGCGAGGTCCCTCACCTGTCTTAGTCTGGTGTTCCACACAGGCAAGCGAGT